TCCAGGCCATTGCACGTCTATACTTGTGATCCTTTCCATTGCATCACATGTCAGCTGAACATTTAATGAAGCAACATTTTTCCTATTTATGTACTCATCGCCAAACTACCCTTCAGGTTTTTTAATTTGTACATGGGTACAATCAAGTGCGCCAATTACGGTGGGAATCCTGTATTTTGCCATCCAACTTGTCTTTGATTCGTTTAAATCTCGTTCGGTTGTTGGAAACACTATCCATTGACCTGCCTTCTCCATAATTTTTTGTGCAACATAATCTACAGTCTTACTAACTGTTGTTCTTTCAATACCAAAATCGTTTGCAAAACCACTTTGAAAACTAATGTACCGAAGAAATACTTCAATATATTTTCATGAGGACAGCACCACCTCGAGTTTCGTTGGTTTCTGGTAAGAAATAGTTTGTAATGAAATCGATATTTTCATTTTCAAACCTTAAAAGACGATTTGCACTATTTGGACTTATATCTGTTCGATCACGATATTGTTTAACTTTACGTATATTCATAAATGCTGCCATAATTTAGACACTTCAAATTATCAATTGCGGCAAGGTAACATCAAACCAACCTTGCGAAAATGAAAGTGATACGTAAAGTTTTCTATTGCTGTTATTCACTCCAATCGTACGTGAACACTGAAAATAGTTACTTTAGGAGTAATAACTCGAGTTAGCAAGTGTTTGCTTGACAAGTACAAGTAAAAGTTTTATTAATCACTTACTACCAAGAATTTACTTTAAAATTATGAAGTAAAAGCATTTACTCTCTTTTATTCACCTCACCCAGTATTACCCCACGAAATCAAGTAAACCCATTAAATAACACTCCTAGTATGTATACAGGGTGTCCTAAATATTTATATGGGTGTTTCAGTTTATTGTTGCATAACTTTAAGATTCGATAGAACTTTTAAATTTAATGCATAAAGTCTATATAAACATGGGTCGAAAAATGCGTGGCTTACGAAATACAGGGTGTTTAAATTTACTTTCTAAAATAGTCTTTTTTAAATATTTCGAACAATATTTGATGTATAACAGTGAAAATTGGTATACAAGGGTTTTTTGGTACGACAAAACGAACCATGGGCATAGTTTTACTGTAGCCGCTAGAGGGCGCTCTCTACTGTACCTGTAGTGTATTAAAATGACCGAAAAATTTTTCTTAGTGCAATTTTTTGCTTTTTGAGTAAAAAAACTGATTCTTCGCACTTCTCAACATAAAAAAGCTCTCTAGTGAATTTTCGTTATAGTTAGCCATTTTTGAGATATTTCGATTTTTAAGGTTCGATGCAATTTTAACACCCTGTATACTTCAAATTACAGGCTTAAAAAAGTCGAAAAATCTACACCCTGTGAAGCTCCTATCACAACTAATTTAAATTTTTTCAGCACCACATATAGTAACGCCACTATTATAAATTCATGATTGTGTAGTGCCACCATGTCCATGTACACCTTACAGAAATACGCCAATATGCACCTCATTTATGGGGACCAGAGATGCAATGCTAGTGCTGGGGCTAGACTGTATCATGCGAGGTACCCAAATGCTGCTCGTCCTCCCGATTACACAGTTTTTGTGAATTTTTACCCTCAGAGGGACGATTCCCAAATCAAGCACATGATGAAGGAAGAATTTCCATTCCGTATGAGAGTGCCCAAAAGTTTAGCCCACAAAATCTTGCGGAAGACGAGCTCCATCCGTACCACGTACAGCGAGTACAATCTCTACAACCCCGGGATTATCTTCCAAGCGTTTTGTCAAACAATGTTACAGAAACACCGGGAAGATCCGCGATTTTTAGAGAACATTTCATAGACTGATGAGTCGACATTTAAAAGAGATGGTTACATGAATCTACACAACTTACAGGAGCCGCATGTAGAAAATCCACATTTGATGAGAAAAGATAGATCTCAGTACCGTTTTTAACTAAAATGTGGACCGGGATTCTAAATGAGAGAATCATTATACTCGTTGACCTGCCAGAGTTCTTGAATGAGGAAGTTTATTCAGACTTTTTGCAAAATCAGTGACCAAATTTATTCGACATGCCACTATGCATTCACAGAGACAGGTGGTACCAGCAAGATGACTGCCCAGCGCAGTTGGAGAATATCTTGATGCGGAGTACCTGAGAAGATATACTAAGTGACATATAAATCCGAACACCCAGTTTAAATGGTTTTATTTTAATAAAAGTTGGTGAATGTATTTATCTTACTGTAAATAACAAGTGAAAAAATTGTCAGCCTTATCAGTTGGACATTCCGGTTTTTATACTGCTTTTTTTTAATTCACTAACGCTCTAAAAATGAATATTTCAGCCGCAGTAAAGAATCAACGTTGGCGGATTTTGGTTCTTGACATCCTTTACGATCGGTTACGATGCCTAGAGTACGGAGACCTGTACGATTTCGTCAACTTAGTGATAGGGGCCGTATAGTGGGACTTCGGGAAGCTGGACTTTCTTTTCGGGCAATTGCAATTAGAGTGCAAAGAAGAGTAGACACTGTGGTTAGGTGTTGTCAGGCATGGCTTTGAGAAGGCCGTACGCAAAGAGCAAGGGGCACTGGACGCCGCCGTAGAACAACAGACCGTGAAGATCGCCGCCTAAGATTATTGGCTTTATAGGACCGTTTCTCCACTACCAGGTCCATTGCAAATGAATGGTTTGCAGAACACGGAAGACCTATTGGCATGCGAAGTGTTTACCGACGAATGAGAAGTTTTGGCTTGTTTTCATACCGGCCACACTGGGTCCTCTCTTTAACTCGAGAACACCGACGTAATCGCCTTGAGTGGTGCAGACAAACGGTCACTCTGGGATCAGGAATGGAACAGTATTGTCTTTAGTGACGAGTCTCGATTTTGTTTAGGCATGCACGATGGTCGTGCCAGGGTTAGAAGGCGACGTGGTGAAAGGAGGAATCCACAGTTTTTTGTTGAAAGACATGTACATCACACTGTTGGAGTTATGGTTTGGGGTGCTATAGCTTATGGTTCCAGGTCACCTTTAATCTTCATCAGAGGTAACATGAACGCGCAGCGTTATATCCACGATGTTCTAGAACCCCATCTTTTACCCTATCTTGACACCCTGGCAGATACAACTTTCCAACAAGATAATGCCCGACCACATGTTACAAGAGTCACAATAGACTTCTTTCAACATAATGATGTCAAATTGTTACCATAGCCACCAAGATCTCCTGACTTATCCCCAATTGAGCACGTGCGGGATATGATGGGTAGGAGATTGCTCAATTTGCAACGTCGTCCTCAGACTCTTGAAGCACTTCGAGAGGAGTTGGTGGTTGTCTGGAATGAGATACCACAGGAGGACATTGACCACCTGATCAGAAGCATGCCTAGGCGCGTTGAAGAATGCGTAGCACATCAGGGTGCATCCACACATTATTAAAGGTCAAAGGGCTTTAAAGCAGTGCAATCATTTTGAAATTTTTATCATTTACTTATTATGCTTCACTAAGTACTTATACAAAATTTTATTAAAATAAAACCATTAAAACTGGGTGTTCGGATTTATATGTCACTTAGTATAGATATGACAGTCTGGCACAATTTCGTTGCCAGCCCGATCACCTGATTTCTCGATTTTTTTTACTGGGGAGCAGTAAAAGAAAAATTTTACGCAAAGCTAGTCGAAAATCTAGCTGAGCCACGGGACAGAATAACGAAAGCAGCTGAATTTTATAGAGACGTATGTACGCGCGATCAAGTGTCATTCAAGTTTAAATTGTTCAAATAAGTAGCTAACCCATCGTCTCAAGTTTTATTCAACTTATGTAGGGTATGTTAACTATCCACTTTTTCTTACTTATGGGTCTAGTAATTAGTTAAAATTTTTTTTAAAAATGTGTGCTAGGCAAATTTTTACACCCACGTGAAATGTTTGAAAACGTAAAGTTCAGTTACGGTTATGAAAATAAATTTATTTACCCTACCACACCCCCAACAATCGGGTGAACCTTCCAATGTTCATCCATTCCAAAAAAAATCGGAAAATTATCTATCCGAAACGTCAAAACACGACGTTTGAGCGATTTATTACTTTCATTTTTGTACCACCGGACCGATTTTAGGAAATTACAATTTTTGGCATAGTTGTTACCTAGCGAAAATACATCAAAATCCGAGGGGGCCTTTCCAAGTTATAGTCGGGCATAGGAATAGCGGACAGACCGACAGACAGACAGATCGACGGAAATGAGTCACATGATTTTCTGTGAGGTAGATGTCATATAACCTTGAAAACACAATATCCCATATTCGAAATTTTTCGCGATTACAATACATCCTCGCCAGTTGCATAGGAAATGAAAATATGTTCCTAAGATCTTCCATATGAACATTAAAAAATTCAAGACGTGCATTATCTCAATTCAATAGGCATATTTTACATGCCTACAATCCAGATTGGTTAACTGTCATATATACATGGCGAGAACAAAGTGAATAAAGATTGAGAATATACTATTAAAGGTCTTTTGAACCCCAACTCGTAACCTACTTCATTCAGTATCTGTAGGTCGTTAGATACTTCGTTTTGTACCACATACTTCTTTTTAAGAGGCTGACTCATAAAGATTCTGAGGGGTCTTTTGAACATCTTCCCGACCAAATACTTCTATTAAATTGTTACTTATCTTTACCATTTTGCTCATACTGATTTTTGACCAGCCTTGGTTTGATCATACATAACCAGCCTGGGAACTATTTTCTGCCAACAGATGGCGTATTCCCTGGATATCCCAGTAATATCACGCACTTTCTGTATGGTAGGCGAACCAAATGTACATATAAAAGTGAAGGATGACTAATATGCATCGATCCCATCATTAAGATAACGCCCAAATCTGGAAAACAAGCTTTATACACGAATCGAGACTCGCAGTTTATCAGCTTTATCATTATTTTCCATATGTCTTGTTTGTATACTTTTAGCGGCAGTTGTGCTATTGTCTATTATTAACTATAGTATATTGAAAAGCTTCGAAATGTTCACGCAAAGGGTCTGTGTACCTATATGATATATACAATGTTTTGGACATTTATATGACAAATACATGGCACAGGAGATCGGTGATGCATGTGCCGTTAGAAAATGCGTCAGATACCGACTGGTGCGCGTGTTTTGATGAATTATGGAGATTCTCGCAAACTTTGTACCATTATGTGATTCCATTTATATGTGTAGCGATAATACCGCTGAATTTGAGTGTTGTAATATCGTGTGCATTCATTTTGAAGAGAGGTGAGTTATTTATGAAGATAGAATTAAGGAAATGGTTTCTTTGGGATGTATGTTGACGAAAAGTATTCGCATTTTCAGGGAAGCAGCCGACATGTACTTATCTATTCATGGGAAATATGGCCCTGAGCGATCTACTGACAGGAATTTCGCTTCTATTCGACCAGCTGTTCCCTTACGCTCACCAGAATCACTACATATGTGAATTGAAAATAGGTACGTAAGGACACAACTATCAGAAATCAACACTATAGAGGGTGTTTCAAATTCGACATTAACCATTGGAAACGGTAAGAGATACAAAGACGCTTGAATGGGGGCAAATGTCGTTTAAAAAGTTTAAATTAAATTAAATGTGCTTCCGTAGAGATACAGAAAAAAATGAATTTTTCCAAAATACTTTTAATTTTTTCCTGACTGTCTTAGTAGTGAGATTACTATTTTCATTCACATTGACAGCATCAATTTGTTTTCGCTGTATGGGATTTTTGCACAGATGAATAGAGTTTTTAATTATGATTCCAAAAATGTATGTTATGTCATACATTGACAAACCTTAGTTATTTAAGAAAAACAGAATTTCCGAGGTAAGCCTTGAAATTAGCAGATAGTCATTTGTCTCGTTTACCAGAACAGACCTCAAATTAAATATAGCAACAGAGTCTGGAAGACTGAGAAGAAGGGAAATAAACCTAGCAGTGAACAATGTACAGAAAAAAGACAAGTTTTGTCTAACAAACAACATCTTGAACATCTGCTATAATTTATCTGCTCATTCTGCTTATATTTGATTATTACTGTCATTATCACAAATAAAATGTTCATATTGTGATCAGGATTCATCATACCTTTTCAATTCCCTATCATTTCCATTCCAACAACAAATTAATGGCCAACCAAGTCCATTTAAATGTACAAAATTCCAATATAGCGTCCATATGAAAAAATAGTTGGAATTGCAACGTGCGATTTAGTTTGAAATCTCATTTCAAATAAAGTCACGAAAAAATATTCATGATTTGGCAATAAATCTGGTAGCGGAACAAATGAGCATCGGATAATTTCAAAGCCTACCTAGGAAATTGTTTTTTTGAAATAACTAATGTTTAGCAATATTAATCTATGACATATTATACATTTTTTTAATGGGATTTAAAAATTCTATTCATCTGTGCAAAAACCCGATATGGTGTTCATAAGAAAAAATAAAGTTGATGCTGGAGGGCAAGTGACGAAACGTCACATTAAAATTCAAATTACGTCATCTTGTAGATAAGAAAAACTGACAATGCTAATGTGCAATTTATTTTTAAAACCCTCTACAAAGAAAGTCAGGAAAAGATTACAACGATTTGAGAAAATTCATCGTATTTCCGTCTCTCTTCGGAAGTAATTTGAATTTCGAAACATTCTAAGCAGCATTGTGTTAGTTACCTAAATACGCAAATTTGCCGCCATTTAAACGACTTCGTATCTCAACCGCTCCTACGTATCCAATGGTCAGGGTCGAATTTGAAACAGCCGGTATACTCTGTTTAGAAGTAAAAAAGAAAATAGATTTTTCAATGATGCCAATTTGTAATCTACTTTTTGATAATTTTCACTTCCAATAATAGCACAATTGCCATTTGTGTTTCCTCAAAAAGAGCCCCAGAATCACCTACATAGTAAACACTGCTTTAGTGAGCACTTACATGTGGCCAGTAAAAATTGACAAATTAGAAATAGCAGTATTGTTCACACTAGACCTGTATTTTATAATTCTTTTTTATTTATTTTTTATTCTTATAATATTCTGATGGCATAAGGAGTGACTCGTGATGCATGACTTAGAATAACCGACCCCTGCTATTGTATTTAATATTCAAACCCTTTTTCATTTCTTGTTGACAAAATTTGAAATATTCATTTTAAAGGTATGTACGCAACATCTATGATGACGTCAGTATATTCCTTGGGCTTAATCGGAATAGACAGATTCATATATATCGTCCACGGATTACAATACCAAAGGTTGATTTATCCATTTAGAGCAAAAATATTGATAATGATGACCTGGTTTATTGGTAAGTAATATCGATTGAATATTATTCTTTTCTGCAGCCTACTATCAAATTGGAAGAAAGTAGCATAACATCGTAAACCACTGCTCCCCTACTTTGCCGATGCAAAAGCACGCTGTATTAGCAGTGGCGTACGATGTGTTATGCTACTATCTTCCAGTTTGATACCCGAGTATATAGTAGGAATTTATAAAAGTGATCTTACTCATCACTAGTCGGGGAGTCGAGCGACAGCAACGGAGTCACAGTGGCGTAGATTACATTGTAGCTTTTATTCTTGATTACTTGGTCACCGCGTGATATCGGCCAGCCACAAAGTCTTGATGGCTCAGAACACTTTTATAAATTATTAGAAAGAACCATGACCGCGCAAAAAATAACGTTTACGTTGGCAGAGAACCTATTGAAAATCACAACTTTGTCACTTTAGAGCGGCAAATTAATAAAAAGACATTTGGGTGCAAACACATCACTCATTCATGATTTCATTTCGATAATGGAAAACCTAGCACAGTAAAGATAGTTTTGATGTCAAAGCGCACGAAATATTCTATGGTATAATCTAATCATAATTGAGGCTTTATAGAGTAGTACTGTTAAGGGCCGCTGTTACACTAACGATCCTCAAACAATTAATGATGAAATAGGTGTATTCTTTTGAATAAAGTATCGCGTGATACATATTATTGAAGACTGTAGTTTTAATACCAATTTAAAAAATAAACCAACGGATGGTCCACCCTTTAGATATTATTTTTAAAGATATAAAAAACTCGTCCAAAGTTACATTCCACTTATGAAATCATGCATAGATTCAGAGTAAATTTACTGAAGCTTAATTTTTCTCCTCCCTGACAAGGCGCTAATGCTCACAAAACAATCTGTCATTAAACATCAATAAATGTTACGTAATGTCTTACACTTTGAAGAAAAATCCTATGTTATTTGACTATACCCTGTCAGGTACCTCTATTCAGAGGACTTCAACTTTATGTGACTTAGGCGTGACATTTGACTCCCAACTAACATTCGTCAAACACATTGACAGCAAAATTTCCGAGGCAAACCGCACGTACGGCTTTATTGTAAGAAATTGCCGTGACTTCACTCAGAGTACCACCTTGAAGTTGCTGTATTATGCATATGTCAGGTCGAAGCTTGAGTATGCATTGCTAATTTGTAATCCGCATCATATTGTTCATATAAGTAGGCTTGAATGTGTTCAAAGACGTTTCTTAAAATATTTGTCACTGAAAGTGGATGGCGTTTCCCGCCCATAGGTATATATGTATATCATGATTCCTTACTTGAAAAACATCTAATCAGCAGTCTTGAAGCAAGGCGCACTTGCCAGTCAGTGATTTTTCTGTTTAAATTGATCAATAATGCTAGTGATGATTTAGCTTTTTTGGGTCAGTTATCATTTAACGTACCTAGGCTGACATCCCGACAAAACGTTACGTTTTATCTACCTGCGGCACGGACAAATTATTTTCATTATTCCCCTTTGCATGTGATGTGTAGGAATTACAATTCTGCAAGTAACCGGATGGATATATTTAACTGCAGAATTGCAGACATAAAAAATACCATTAAGTAACCAGCATGTATCTTTTACACTTTGTAGTCTATTACTTATTATTGTCTTTTATATCTATATTATGTTCTGTGTTTCCTCACCCTGTAATTGGTATTTACTGTAGGGTGTTGTAATGAATAAAATAATTTCATACAATGAGAAAAAGCTTTATAAATGTGTTGGCACTAGGCACTACACAGATAAATAAAATACTTTCTTATTTGTTTTAGGTGGTACAATCGGTTTTTTGCCACTCATGGGTTGGCACAATACAAACGTCGAATCCAAACCATGCTGGTATATTAACACAGTTCCCAAGGAGCTCATCATCCTAACTACTGTTCTTGGGGTCATACCGCTATTAACAGTCCTGGTATTGTACTCGATCATCTTACATCATGCGTTAAAGAAAATCTGTGAGGTGCAGAGTAGCTGGCTATTCAGAGGACTACCTGTGAACGAAGCTAAAAGTGGTTCCAGTTGTAAAAAGCAGTCCAAGGATGTGCCAAACCACCACAATGACAACAAGCTCTTTTTGTTAAGCCCCCTTGAGTATCCCAGATGCAGCAAAGCTATTAGAGTTGTGCTATTCACCACAGGCTGTTTTGTAGTCACATGGTTTCCATATCTCATAGCTTGCTTGATATATGTCAGTGAGTGTGATCTTGAAAAGGGCTCTAGGCTATGTATGACATTGAAAATGGCGATTTCGAGCCCTCTGGCACTTCTAGGATCGCTCAACAGTGTATTGAATCCTTTGATATATGCTTGGTGGCATAAGGGGTTTAGGGGATATGTGAAGGAAAATGTTAAAAAGACCCTTGTGAAAAAGATCAGTACAATTAGTTTAACACATTCTGATAGTTCCAGCAACTGACTTTAAGATTTAGAAAACCTGATCACAAAATAGGAGGATATTATATTGTCTGGTGTTTATCAATATATCAATCAATAAACCACAACCATAACATTCTTCGATAAGTATTCTTGCTTTCATACAGAATAGAGCCTATTGACATGGACATTCTACCTACAGTAGAGTCACTTCATAGACTGGTTTAGCAGAGCAAAATCCCTCCGGTTGGAGCAACCACTTAGTAAAGAATGTCTGCGCCATAAAAAAGATCTGACTACTGGTGGCACCGCTTAGGACGCACGAGTCTGAAAAGTTTCTCATCTGGTTACTTTCTATAGCATTTTTAGAAAAATTGGTTTGAATATTTGAGGTTCTTTATAGGAATGTTTTTAGGTCTTGCTTTACATTTTTGGTTCCAACAATCAGATTACAGTATAACCATTGTTGTATGACTTTACTGTGTACTGTATGAATAATGGAATAAATAGATGTATGACTTGCCGCTTTGTATATAGTTTTTTTTTGTTGCTCCAAAAGCAAACTATTAAACTAACATGCTAAATTGTTTTATTGATTAAGATGTTGATTCTCATGAACTGACAAAATTAATAAGAACTAAAAAGACATTTATGTTGAGATCAATTCTTACCGCTGGTTTGTTTGTCATCTGTACTGCTTCCATCTTTCGTGCTGTCTGAAGTTGAGATTGTACGCTCTCGTTCCCACTCTGCCTTCACATTCTGGTAGTTGACCTGCTCAGAAACATAGCTGCTCTCTGAGGAGCATAGATTCGAGAAGCTTGTACTCACAGGTGGCAATCTCTGGGACACAGAGTAGAGAGCATTTTGACTTGATGACAGTTCCTCAGTTTGGGAATAGTCATCATGTGTCCTGCTGAAAAAGATCCAAGTAGTTATATTTAATCAATAACTACATGTCTGATATAAATAAATGATTTTGGAAAAACAGCTTGAGCATCGTAGGTATGAAAAAATAACAATCACTTCACACAATATCTCAAACGTAAAGAACACTATTATGAGCAAAACAAGTCACAATCAGGAGAGGACCTAGCAAGGTGAATATTCCCAATTACATGCAAATCATGAGTTGGAGTTTGTAAACAACAACTTACGAATATATGTTTCTTCTGTAACCTTCAAGCAAATGTAGGAAAAGCCACCAGTTGATTTGGCTATCACAAAATATAATAAAGAATAAATTTTGTAATGGTCATGTTGTTCTTAAGATTCCAGTTTTCTATTATCAAAGAATGGCTTTTTAATATATGTATCATAAGTTTAACAAACTGCTAGGAAATACAAATCAGATGGATTGAACCTTTGATACTACTTTTACTGTTATTTACATGCTGCAGATGATACATAAATGTGGAAAATTATCCTTTCAAGGATTGTGGTCAGAAGAAGTAACGAAACTTCATCTCACTGTGACTTGCTAATAGCTGCTCACGCAACATATGCATTGGTAATGTCATGAATTTTCAGAATTTTATATAACTAAGTAATGATTGTTTTCCATTCCGTTTTTGTATGAAATTAAGCTATAAACCATTGGTGATATGTATTTTAGTTTTCATAGCGAAAAAGATAAAGATCTATAATGTTTTTTTGGACCCTGAAGGTATTTTTAAATTGTTCGCGAATTTCGGCTTGCTAACCCTTGACAAAAACTATGTAGGGGGACTTTTCTGAAAGCGCTGTATAAAAATGAAAGTGTGTGCTCATAATACGAACCAAAAATGAATTTGTATTTTAATTTTGCATTCATTTGTTCTAACTTTTATTTTTATTGTGAGGGCAATGGCGAAACATTCTTAGTTTTATATAATGTTTTAGTGTATTTTATTATAGATTTGAAGTAGGAATTGCTGCAAGCTGGTGCTCAAAAAAATATTATACAAATGTTGCAAGATGTATGAATTTTGTACAAATGATAGTATTCACTATTTAGGTTTTGATGAACAATCAAGCACTAAAATAAAAAAAATGATGACAGTTTAAAATACAATACACAATATCTGTAACTGCTTTACCCAGGGATCCGAGTGAAGTGGATAATCTGCATCATTTTATTTTTATCTAAGTACTAAATAGCTATAACCTACAATGACTGATATAAAATCAATTCAGATATCCTATATTCATTAAGCTTCCTGTAATAATTGCAGAATGCTCAAGGTATCCACTTTGCCTGGGTCTATCCTATGTTATAAGTAACAATGAAACATTAAGATTTTGGAATGCTGCAGATTCCTTTGCAAGCCCAAGAATGAACCTGCAGAATGAACCTGAAGAAAACTTACAGCCACAGAAGCAGATATAATAAAAACTGATGTGAAGTAATAAAAAAAAACTTTCGAATCTGAGGAGTGTCTAAATGAAAGTACATTGATCCGAGGTGAAACTGGGGGTTTTGACAACTGTTCTTAAAACACGTATATCAACATTTCCATCTGTGAAACCACTGTTACTCAATATCAATGAAGATTCCTACCTGTAGGATTCTGACAAATAATCAGAATTCTGAGAGCTGTATACTCGTCCTCGGTTGAACTCTACTGGTATCACAGTTACATTGTAGTTACTTGTTTGAATAATTATTTGTTGAGAATCATTTTTATCTGAATTATTCATATCCATTCTAGCCCTTGTTTGAAGAACAGCTTCACCAGAAAGCAAAAATCGATAACGGCTGACCTTTATTTTGCTCGATAAATGCAAATCTTGTTTACCGAGGCTATGTCATTGGAGCAATTATTTTGTTTTATATGAATAAATTAGTCTGAAATAGTTCATTTCACAGCAGTAAACAAACAGTAAACAATAACAAGCCACCTCCAACATCCATTTTTAAAAATGACAGTTCATTGACATTTGACGCGACGGCCATTGACAGATGACAGCAGATACGGGGGTTCCTCAAATTTCGGATTCAGATGGGATTCAGATTAGCAAAATTGCAGATGATACCATCTTTAATTCAAATATATTGCAATATAATATATAACGATATATAATATGTATATAATAATAATGTCTTTAAGATAAAAAAAGGAAAAAAAAAATCGACGAGGATGGGATTCGAACCCACGCGGGCAGAGCCCATTGGATTAGCAGTCCAACGCCTTAACCACTCGGCCACCTCGTCATGTACTAGGCAGTTTCTTAACTAGCTTCAAATAAAAAATATCCATCTGATAATTTTTGTACTATTAACTATTAAATTATTTTTCAGACGATTAATACGATCATTTATCGACGACTTTTCATGATTTGAAAATAATAAATTCTGTAAACAGCTGGAGGATAATCCGTTAATTTTTATTCCGGATATTGCTGAGGGTTGTCATGACAACCGAACAAAAGTGTACACAAAATAAAAGCACCCCTTGACAGTTTCCATAACACGATCCGGAAATCAAGTGGTGCGTGTCTTGCAGGTCATAAATCCTTTGCATACCCAAATTTTCCCAGGAACCATCAGATGTATGGGTATGATAATTTGTATTTATTTTTACGTTTCCAAATTTTTATAATAACGAGAAAAACTCAAAGATCACCTATATTACTAGGAAACTTAGTGAATTTTCAGCCTTGCACAATATTAAGTATATTAAAATTTTCTTTTGAAATTTCGATACCCTATTGTTGGTGAGGATTACAATAGGAGTGCACGGCTGAATCGTGTGAATGATAAGCATTATTGATTAATTTTTGCCCCAGTTTTCACTTATTCCCTTATAGTAAAATGCTACCATCTCGCAGTGTTTTGAAAACAGTGGATCCATACAAATTCAGTGCATTTCAGAGAACACCAAAGTACAATAAATTACACAAATGTGAGTAAATATAATTTTTCTATCGGACAATTTTGTTGCTAAGAACATAGATATATGTCGATATTATAAAATGAAAAATGTATATCGCCTTCAGTACCTAAAGTCGTTTTTCCTTCAATATCAATAGGCGGGAGAAGCATTTACTGGTACTTAATAGCGAAAAAGATAAAGATCTATAATGTTTTTTTGGACCCTGAAGGTATTTTTTAATTGTTCGCGAATTTCGGCTTGCTAACCCTTGACAAAAACTATGTAGGGGGACTTTTCTGAAAGCGCTGTATAAAAATGAAAATGTGCGCTCACAATAAGAACCAAAAATGAATTCGTATTTTAATTTTGCATTCATTTGTTCTTTTATTTTTATTGCGAGTGCAATGGCGCAACATTTTTAGTTGTATGTAATGTTTTAGTGTATTTTATTATAGATTTGAAATAGGAATTGTTGCAAGCTGGTGCTCAAGAAAATGTTATACAAATGTTGCAAGATGGATGAATTTTGAACAAAAGATAGTATTCACTATTTAGGTTTTGATGAACAATCAAGCACTAAAACTAACTAACTAAAAAAAAATGATGACAGTTTAAAATACATATACCTACTTATAAAATATTTAAATGCTAAAATTTCATTAATACCGTCAAGTCAAAAGAGTCATTTTCAGGCTCCAATATGATGATCCTCTGAAAATTGGCCCAGTATGGGAGATATTATTGCAAAAAACTATGTAAACATCGATGTAGTCCGAAATTTCAGATCACCCTCCACCATTTAGTTGAAAGGCGATAAACTGTAATAGAAATTAATACTTAGTCCAAAACAGATCCTACTGAACTTTTTTTTCTTGAGCGCCGTACACAAATGCATGATCAATGTCTAAAACATGTTCTCGGACTCAAAAGCTATGTGATATCATACAACTATATCAGGCATCCGATCAATTTGAACATTCTCAATTTCCTGTTAACACATGATATTTAGAGTCGCTTTACCATTTCGATTGATAAATTAAATTTGATGGGTTGGTTGAAAATCATTTCCAGAATATGTACAAAAATTTCAAATGATATGGTATTATTATATTATTATCCAGAAAGTGAATTAGAAATCCTACAAGCTAGTGAAAACCTTCATTCGTTATAATTTTTTTTCACAAGTTTCTGACATTCCCACTCCTTCTGATATAGACTTAGATAATTATGGTGGAGGTACTAAAAAGGGAGTTTCAAATTCGACTCCATATTGGGATCTCCGAAACTGTAAGAGATACACGAAGTCGCTCAAATGGAGGCAAAGTTGCGTATTTAGATAACCAACAAACTGCCGCTTAGACATTTTCGAAATTTTTGATATTCAAAGTACTTCCGGAGAGAGACGAAAAAAAACAAATTTTTCAAAAATTGTTTTAATTTGTTCCTGATTTTCTAGTGGGATTCCAAAATAACTTGCACATTAAAATTGCCACTTTTTCTCATCTACAAGATGGCATAATTAGCATTTCAATATGACGTTTCGTCTGCTGTCCCCCGGCATCCTCTTTTTCAGCTGACTTTATCTGAGATTAAGTTTCAAGGTAAATTGCATGTTGTTACTGCCAGTTGGACTACAAGATAGAGTAGTCAAATTTTCAGTACGACTTTTCGACTTCCATCACCAACTTTGTTTTTCATATGGACGCTATATTCTACCTAAAGACATCCAATCTTATACTATATTTCAGTGTACAAAAAGGGATCTGAAATACGCTGGTGCCATCTACGAGGCAGCTTCAGATCACAAAAATCAAATTAGACTACTTTGAAAAAAGGTAAAGAGTTTGGTTCTGCTACTACCCCATAGTTGGCGCGGTAATCTTCAATATCCTTTTGGCGCCTCTCTAATGCCTATTTTAATTGGGTATCGTCAGATGGAATGGAATCAATGGCAGAAGGATACTCAATTAAAATGGGCACTAGAGGGGAGCCAAAATAAATTGAAGATCTTAGCGTCGTCTATGATTCATCACCTTTTTCCCAAAGTAAATTTTTAATTTCTTTTCCGTATTCAGCTACTGCCTCATAGACGCTGCTATCATATTCCAGAACTAATTTTTGGCTCCGAAATACATTAAGCTGTTCGCTATACTCAAGTAGGATACGTTAATTAATGCTATAGTGATTATGGTTTTGCGAAATATCTTAAAGAGCAAAAAAACACGATAAAATACGTATTTTAATGTCAAGTAGCTTAAAAAAGGCGTTGCAGCGGACTAAAATTGGTGGTGGACAGACAGATGTCTCTCACACCATTAATTAGAGTTCGCTCGCAATATCCTTATCGCACATTTACCATTTTCCATAATGGATGTCCTACCATGGATGTTCTGTATGAAAAAATAAATTTGGCTTAGCATTTGTTGAAATGGACCTGAATTCCTTGTGTTGATTTTGTTATATGTGAGGTGGAAGTATTTCTAGAGCATGAATTGTTATTATATTTTTGGCGTAATATAATGCAATCTTGTTGCAAACGTAATCATAATGTGAGGAGTATTTAAATATAGTGTAAATGTGCGAAAAAAATATATAAGCTAACTCAAAGGCAGCTTTGAGTATGTGGCTATGGTATTAGGGAATAAAATAATCTGTCATGATACATGACCTCAGATATAGGCAAAAATCGCTATTTTTGATCTTTTCACGATATCTCGGAAATTAAAGCTAATTGAGAGATTTGGGCCACGGATTTGGTTTCAGCGCATCAAAAATAGAGATTTACACTCGACTTGACCACTTTGTATCAAGTCAAGCTGAAGTTAGGTCTTATATATTATCAATGTAAATATAGGCAGCAGCGGTGGCCGCAGTAGTAGACTCTTCGGTCTCCTGATCAGTCGCCGTGCGCTGTGCGGGTTCGAATCCCGTCCCAGGAGAAATTTTTCTCTTGGCTATGGATGTTGTGATTGTCCGTAGGTGGTAGACGGTATCTGACTGTCAAACGGGGAGGTACCACCCGGCGGATCTCGTAGGCGGAGCCAGAATGTGTGCATGTTGCATGCACACTTGTTCCCTCGCCAGATTCCGTGTGGCGTTCCCCCTTTCCCCTGTATCCCCCTATAGCCCCACGGTACCCAATGGGTGTTTAGGCCTTCATGGTAGTTGGAGTATAAAAAAAAAGCCAGGTAGTTTTTACGCCAAGGACTTGAAAAATTAAGTAGTCTTGATATTACGTATACTTCCTAATTACAATACATATATTGAACAAAATAATAACGGTAAGGCCGTAAACTTAGAAGAAAAAACATTTCTTCACCATCTGATACAAAAAAATAAGTAATAGTTTAAAAAACTAAAAAGCACGCTTTTATAGCTAATATTACAGTAGTAGATGGTCGAAAAATCAATCATAATGACCTCAAAATAAAATTATAATAAAATTTAAGTTACTTCCCCTACTGAGCGGCGCCGTAGCAAATGCTTGTTCCGGAAGTTGTTGTATCCAGTATACAACTTCTTCCCATTCAAGCGATTGTACACGCGTTAAGGAATACCTCAGTACAGGTTGCCGGGTGGCGGTACAAGTCCATCAACGGACCACTTCAGGTCTATTTAGCAACACTAACATGTAAAAAGGAGGTGGTTGACAAGGCAGTACCACCCGGTAGCTCTTCCCAGGGTGTCTTATAAATGTCCGCATGTTTCCACACCTAAGCTATGCAGTCGGTTACCTTCCAAAACAAAGAAATTAATGATGACGGATCCCTCGAGCACTAAGAACTCCGGACGTAAATTCACTCCACTCTCGGAATGTCCGGATGGAGGGTGGGCTTGAGGGAACAACATCGACGATAAAATTTGTTTTTCGAAAATCTGTGGGATTAACAGCAGCGTTGATGCTGGTGATCACTACCTGCAATCCAATCGTCCCACCGTGATTTTCTTGGCGCAGACAAACATCTCGAGAGTCTGCACCGATTGACCATCTTAACTTCCCAAACTACGAGGTGCACTCCAGTCTGAGAAAGAACGGGG